GACCAGTCCACAAAGTGGGGGAGACGAGACAAGCAGTAATTTTGATTCCAAAAGTAAAAGAACCGAAAGGCCCAAAAATGCAATGGCCACCTCGAATTCGAGGGATCCAAAACGAGGAAAGATGAAAAAGGGACAAAAGGGCGTACCTAGGTGGGAAAGAGTAACGAACAGTAGCCTAGAGCGAAATGGAAGAAATAGGGCAATGCAAATATTCAAATCGAACCCACAGAACTCGATCTTGAATGAGGAATTAGAGAATTCCAAACTAGAAAGCCAAGAAATCGCAAAAAAAGAGAAGCAACAGAGAAGTTGAACAGTGGAATAAAGCAGTTCAAATAGCCATTTGAGCATTTAAAGCTTGAGAGACGTGGATTGAAACGTGTACGGAAAACGAGGAAGCCATGATTGTTGAAAATCGTCAAAAAGGCCTAACTCACGTGCAGACCAAGGTCAACCACGTGCAGATCCTGCTCGGTTTAAAAAATAGCTTAATCCCTGCCCAAGTCGGCTTGAACTAGGGGCTGGGGGGCAACTGATGATACCTCAAACAAGCCCTAGTTGTGAGTTCAAATCAGGAGGTCAGGAAAGACACGAGGAACTCAGATAACCAAAAATGGAGCTCCCCTTGGGGAGATCGTAGCTGAACCGATCAGGAAACAGCTGGATGACTGCGAAAATTGGGGCTCATGCATGAAACTCTCAACCAATCAAGATTCTCTCCTAAAATCAAGGAGAATCTCATGAATAATGGGCAAAGATCTCGGCCGAAATCTCATAGAATAGGGGACAGCCTTATAAATACTATGAAACGTCTCATCGAGAGAGAAAGAAAAAAGAGAAGAACCCTAATCGAATTGTGCACTGTCTTGTATTACATTCAAATAATCAATAGAGAAGAAAATGAGCAAGAGCCTCCATTTGAGAGTGGATTAGCCGAGCTCTAGAGCCGATGAACCACTATATTCCAACTGTGCAAATTCTCCTATCCCCTAAGAAACACTTCATCACTGGTATTACGAAGTTGGCAACCTAATTTCACCATTGATCCCACGCACTCTATTCACTCACATCACTTTGGCACCATAAAAAATAAATGTAAAATATATGATGTAAAATAAAATAGTTACCAAACATATTTTCTATTTTAGTTTTTAAATTTCATACAACAACAACTACATCCAAATACGTTTTTTGTTTCAACTTTTAACCACAAAAAAAAAAAAACAAAAAACAAAACCAAACATTGATTCTGTTTTTTATTTTTTTGAAAATATATAAACGAAAATGTTACCAAATGCACCCTTAGTTCGACGTCTTGCTTGCATTTGATAGATATACTACAAGTCTCATAGAGCTTTTCGTGATACCGTCTCGACGATGACTCGGTAGCGATGCTAAATGTTTATTCCTATTTACGCGAAAAACATTATTTTTATTTGCTTAAAAAATATTTATCAATTGAGTAATACTATCAATACTTAAGAAATTGATTTAATAATATTGTTGTGATGATAATTCCAAAACTTTTTTAGTGAGATTTCATCGCTTTATTATGTCAACAAATTAGATAAATTTTTTTTAAATATCAACAACATTACTCTGAATTTAACTTATTAAATTATTATAAATGATCAGGTTAATTGATTTTATTAGATTTTATTAATAAAACTTATTGATCTAACTATTCAGATTGGTTTAAAAAAAAAACCATTCAGATTAATTTGACAGAGAAAACCTGATAAACCTTTGAATGTGAAAATAAATACTCTTAAATTTTTTATTCTGATAAAATCATAAGGTTTTTTCAGTAAATAAAAATATCATATTCTAAGGTAGTCCCAGTAGAGACATCGATAAGTTGTAAACTCAAATATCCTATGTTTGAAACTTAACAATTCATTTGTGCTCCGTTTGGTAAGATGAAAAAATAGAAGAAAAGTGAATAAAAAGTTAATTATTTGTATTGAAATGTATCTTATTTGTCTATATATTATTTAATATTAATTTCATATATAATACAATGATAAAATATGCATTTTTATTTTTTTAAATAAATTTAAAAATAAATATTTTTAAAATTTAAAAAAATATTTTTTCCATCTTACCAATCACAAAAAAAAATTAATTATTTTTATTTTTCATCCATCTTACCAAACACAAAAGAAATAAAGTGTATTATTCCTATTTTTCGTCCTTGAATGATAAAAATTGTATTTCTCCTACTTTCTATTCCTTCTACTTTCCATTATTTTTATCAAACGGAGCATTAAGGTTAGATCATAAGAAATTTATTTCTCATAAATTTTTTAATTCTGGCAAGGATGATTGATCAGATTTTGACTTAATTGAAGACATGATTAGTAGAAGTGCACGTAAATTAACCTGGATGACTCTAATTGTAATACTCAAAAAAAAAAAAATTGAAAATCTCATGATGGATTCACAGTCTCTTGGATCCAACAATTAGTGCAAGTGTTCAAGAAATTTTGCATTTTCTTTTTGATAATTAAATTTTTTTTTTTAATTTCCTCATAGACAAATGCTTTTGAACTTGGGCGCCCTTTCCATTTGGCAAAGATAAAGGCCATGAATGGCAATTTAAAATTAGGATGTAAAAGGGGAGCCAATGGATGAAAAAGTAAAACTCAAATGACAAAAAGAAAAAAATGACAAGTAAAAATTAGTGGGACCTATAATCTAGCCATCCATCCTTCCAAATTGATTTGATATGCTAGACTTTTTGGTATTTGTAGCTTGAGATTTTATTTTATTTTACATTCCATTATTAGTCATTTGGCATTTATCAACAAAAACCCGTTTCTACTACTAAATTCATGATTTAACAGTTCAACAGTAAGTTGTGGTGGTCATTAAACCAATAATCGATTTTAGGGGGTCACAATATAACACAATCTATTAACACGATGCAAAATTAGAAGATTTGAGTCTTCTTTATAAAATTGAGGTCATGATTAGGGGTGAAAGTGTAATTTTTCTTATTTAAGATTAGAAGTCGTTCCGGCAATGGGATTAGGCGCCTTTGTTATCGATGATACTATGAGCAATGTTGTATGGATTTAAGATGTAGATTTAAAATATAAATTTGATCAATCATTGCTATTGATTTTATTGTAAGTTTCGACATTTATTAGGACTCATTATTCATTTAATGACAATAATTGATTAAGTTTATATTTTAAGTCTAAGTGGCATTTCTCAATTACTAATCCCCTAAATAACCCAAAAAAGTTTATCCTTGAAACGTTGCACATAGTTGACTTAAACGATCCATTTTCTATGCTAGCAATGATCCGTGGAGGTGAGAGCTCCCTCTTAGTCACAAGTAGATGCGGGTTCTAAACTCATCTCTTTTGTTTCCCTCTTTTCCCTCTCCAAGTCACAGAAACAAGAAAAAGAAAAAAAGGGTCAATTTCTTTTGCATTTGGATACCCTCTATATTCCAAACAAAGAAAAAATCCATCTTTCAATGTTGGTTTGGTTAATATGAGTCTCCTTCCAAACACATTTAAGACAGATTTGGTTCACGTACAAATAAAAGATAGGATTGAATAATTAGTTCACATTCAATCTATAAAATGGTGTTAACAATAGTACTATTTAATCTTATCATTATATAATAAATTTGGATCAATGTCAAAAATAGTAAACAATAAACATATTTGTATTTATATTTAAAATCAAATAACAAATATAGAGAAGAGATAAAAAAATTTCAGCATTAATTTATAGTGGAGGTGAGAAATGGTGGACGACAATGGTGGTGATAGGAGACGGTGATGGTTGTGGTGGGTGGAATTGATCGTGGTGGAGATGAGGGCGACGGTGGTGGTGGTGACAGCGACGGTGGTGGTGATGGCGACGGTAGTGGCGGTGGTGGCGGCGACGACGGTGATGGTGGCAACAGCGACAACGGTGGTGGTGGTGGTGGCGGCGACGGTGGTGGTGGCAGCGGTGATGATAGTGGTTGTGGTGGTGGTGGTGGTGGTGGTAGAAAGAGCGGTGGGACGGTTACAAATACTATTTTTTTTGTATTTATGATAAATAATTTATAGAAGTATTTTTAAAAAGTCACTGCAAACACACCTTAAGAGTCTATTTTTTTCATTAAATTTAGAGTGTTAATATTAGCCGTTAGATTAATTTTAAAGTAAAATTTAAAGCGATCTCAACCGCGAATAGCAAAAGTCATTTTGTTTATCTTTTGAGATTTGAAATGTAAGCTATTATATTTTATAGATAATTATAATATCAAATTTATGTTTAAGTAATAGTGTATAATATTAAATTAAAAATGACAAAACAAATAATGAGGATAAGAATTTACATAATATATATATGAAGATGTGACTCTATGTTTGCAAAAATAATAAAGTCATTGTATTTTTAATACTTGATAAAAATTATATCACCTACTATATGATATTCATTATTGCCTAACATAAGGTGTTAAATGACAATAGTAAACCGAGTCGAGATTAATTAAAATTAATATTGAGTCATTATAACCACGTCCAAACTTAGTATTATATTATATATTAAATTAAATTAATCTAATTCATCCCTTTAATATTTAAACCAAACATAACCCTAAGGTTTTTAAGTTTAACCAGATGTCATATTAATTGTACATTTGTACTACACCCATTTGTCCATTCTTCAAAAATTAATCATTAGCTTTTTGTCATTTTAAATGCATTATTTCCTTCAAGTTACCCTGAAATTTAATTACAGTTTGATATAAAAAATAAGAATTTCATTATAAAAAAAAAGTATATATCAACATTTTGATATAAAAAATCAAATTGAAAATACATGACCCAAAGAATAGGTAGCGAGAAATTTCACTACAAACATATCTGCATCAATAGGTGGGAGAGTTCATCAATGGTGAAAATTCCATATCCTACCAACATGAATCTACAGAAGATGATGGAAACCCCAGTTTTTTTAAATCCTATGAGCTCTTTTTTTTTTCCTGATTATTGAACCCTTTGGCTTGCCAAAGGAACCACATCAGCCAAAGGAGTGGAGAGGGGTGTTGGGATTGGAGAAGTTCTACAGACTGGACAGGTAGGGTTCCGCCGCAGCCACGGATCAACACACTCGAGGTGAAAGAGGTGGCCGCAGTCCGGCAACAGGCGGAGCATATCACTGCCCTTGTAATCTGCCAAGCAAATGGAGCAGCAGGTGGCGGTGGTGGTGGCGTCCTTATTTTTGACCCTGACCTCGGAGTAGAGCAGCATTGGGTAACTTTGAAGGGTGGCCTCATCAATCCCCACATCAACAACATAGTCTTCTGCAGGGTGGTCAGGCAGTGGCAGGACGTTTATTTGTGGTGGTGCATGTGATGGCGCGTGAATTGGGGTGCAGTATTTTGAGGCCCAGGTGATGGTGAAGACGATGAGGAGAAGTCCTAGCGAAAATCCGATGCCATAGGCGAAGCTGCCTATAGTTTCGGAATCCAAAAAACCCCCGGAGCTTGTTGTTGCACTTGCATTCATCTCCTTGAGGAAGTAGTTAAAGAGGGAGTTGATTGTAAATGGAGAAAATGGAGGAGGTTTGATCAGTCATGGCAATGGCCAAAGATAGTGATTTATTTGGGGTTTTAAGTTTTTGGAAGTCTACAGTAACGTGAAACATTGCTCAAAAAAAAAAAAAAAAAAAAAGGTAACGTGAAACAGAAGGGTAGGATGTTCGTCGATTTTTAATGGGTTAATAGCACTTTAGACGGTAAAGTATGTATTTTTTGTCAGTTTAATCTCTAAAGTGTCAATTTTATTAATTTAGTCCCTAAAATATTTAATTTGTGTCATTTTAGTGTCTAATCAGATAATTCTTTATGTTTTTTTGACGAAAGTGGTCGTGTATCACTATTTCATACAGTATCTCGTAACCAACACATGATCTTTTTGTCAAAAATTTAATAATTCGTCTATGTATGGACTATTTTGATACAAATTAAAATTTTAGGAATTAAATTGATTAAATTAATACTTCAAGAACCAAACTAATAAAGACGCATATTTTATAAACCAAAAGTATTATTAACCCTCCCCCAAAAAAAAAAAAAAGGTTATGCAGAAGGGTAGGTTATTGGTTGATTTTGGAAAGATGTGTCTGAATAATACAAAAATATCAAAATTTATATATTATCGTACACATATCAACAATGCCTAACATAAAAATTATATTGAACCACAAATTAATCAAAAATTAAATAATTTAACTTTGGATAGAAATGACCGAAAAAAATATATGGAGATAAAATTTAAAATGCTAGTTATCTTATTAGTTAGATTTTAGTTAATTATCTTTCTCTCAGTCTCTCACTCACACACACACACGCTAATTTTTTTATTTTTTTTTAATTTAATTGTCAGTGATGTTCGGACCAATTATTATTATCTTTTTGGCTAGCTAGCTAATTATTTTATTGGGATGGGTAAGATGACATTGATTGTCCACATGACAGTAGCTTGCAAATCTCTCTCTGTCACACATACACATAGCAAACAAACAACAATAGCCAGAAAACCAGCTAGGCTCAATTGGAAGCCAATACTACGAACCAAGTTGTGCTGGCAGGTGTATAAAATTGAAGGAAACTTTGCATATGACTAAACTAATTAAGAAGAGCAAAAACAATTTTTTCTTCAGGTTGATCCAGTCTCGAAGAGAGACCACAGGGTTGAATTAGCTGTTGGTAGAACCAAACGTGCCCAGTTGGACCACTTTCTGGTTTTGGTTGGTTTGGATTTCTTAGCTAGTTGCTTGAATGCCAATGGTACCTATGACATTAAAAACAATATGAAATCGATTGAAAATGACATGATTTGTTAATATTAATAATAAATGGGCCAGATTGGTTAGACATAAATAATACGATTAATTGGTATTATAAGCAAAAAATTTATTTTTTTAATTTTTTAATATCTCTACATAGCATCATATGCATTTGTTTTGTAATTAAAAATTTTTATTGACAACCCAAAAATAATACGAATTGAAAGAACACAAGATGACACCCCTAATGTCGAATGATAGAATTCATCTCTGAGATCATGGAAAAGATTAAGGTACCGTACTAAAATTTATAATTTTTTAAATTTAAGTAATAATTAAAAAATAAAAAATATATGATTAATCTTAAAATGTTAGAATCGATCACAGAAGTTACAAATATAAAAATACATATTAAAGGTAAAGTTACGATCCCAAGAGAGAGGAGCTGTAAATCTAGACTTCTTAAATTTAAATTTTGATAACTTTTTGGGATCAGAGCATAAGAGAATTATTTCTCATGAAATACTTTAATTTCAGCATGGATGACATGTCTTTAATCGAACTAGAAAGAAAATTAGTCGAAGTACGCGTAAGTTGATCCAGACACTACTGACCATTGAACCAAAAAATAAAGAAGCTATTGGAACGTAATTTTGAAATTTAGTCTGGGAACATAACATATTGCAAAATTAGTCTAGAGTTTGAACATTGACTATTACTATCAATACAATGACCCAATGTGTTAGATCCTCAAATTAATTACAAAATATTATCATTGAAAAAATTTATGCATCTAGATAGACACTAAACATGGTATTTTAGTTTCTTTATTTATTAGGGATATTTTTTTCTGCATATAAAAAATTTTATATCACTATTATAATGAAGAAAATCTAGTATAACTTTGAATAATAGATCTACAACACATGAGAAAGTATCCACAAATGGATGGAGAGATGCTCCAAGGTGGGCACCTAGAATATCGACAGAGGAACGTACAAGTAATCAAGCCTTACTTTGTCAAGGACTGTCCCTTCTAAAGAATTTTTAAAAAACAGAGCTTAGCTTTGGGGGAATCTGGTCTCTTCAATTTTTTGTGAGTATCAGGCATACAATTATTTGTATTTATAATTGAATTGTATACAATCATGACTAACTTACAGCACTACACTCAAGACTAATTACAACATCCTTACACATGGAAATCACGACAGTCAACTACGGGATTTTTCTCACTCTATCTTTGCCTCATTTTCTTCCATAATTTCAGCATTTGGATTCACATCAATCTGTTCCATATTTTCAGCATATTGACAATCTTCTTTACGCGCCCCTCAAACTGGATTGGGGTTGTGACCAAATACCAGGTTTGGTTCTTAGCATTTCAAGCGGTCGACGAGGTAGAGCCTTTGTAAACAAATCCGCCACTTGCTTTGGGGATGAGACAAATTGTGTGATGAGTGAACCAACTGCCACTTTTTCACTAACAAAATGGTAATCGATTTTAATGTGCTTTGTACGTGTAACACTCCGGTTTTTTGGACCTGTTACTTGATTAAATTAATTGATCGAAAATAAACCACAATTAAATCTCCGAGTATAAGGTCAAAACTCTAATTGCCTCAATAAATTTATAATCATAATTTTGATCTCCAAATACCAATAAAATAATCTCCGCAATATAAAAACGAATTTGTTCAAATTATACATCACCTCAATAAACCTACAAACTTAAAAATTATATCAAGATTCGTCTGTCTTTAATTTTTCAAATATCAATTCTGGTTCTTTCCTCCGAGACAATCTTGAAAAATATTAAAGGCGGAAAAGTATACAATATGACAAGAAACAATATGCTCAACGAAAAAAGAATATGAATGGTCAAACACCAAATAATTCAATCGATACACAATCATAGATAAAAGAATCAAGAATCCAATTCGATAAATCACATAACTCAATATCTATCAAATCTACCCTCATACTTGGGTCCTCTTGGTGACATGATAAATGACACCTGAGCATTTAAAATTCATACTCATATCGAACTATTACACCTCTCAGGGCTGTAATCATAATCGCATCCCACAGGGCCATAATTACATTTCACCAATTATGCCCCCAAATACACTTCGTACATATACCAAATAATTTCAAAGTATTTAGTCCAACGTACACGTGTAAATCAACGATAATATTGACAAAATTTCATATAAATCAGAATAATCAATAGGAATATTAAATTTCAAATAATGAAAGGATACTTTTTGTAAAGAGGTTTAAAAGACAACAGCATATTGTATACTAGCCCGTACCTCAAATCCATCAATGACTTCAATAAATGCGAAATTTGAAATACTCCGAATCAAATAGTCAAATTTGATAGAAATATAAAATAAAATTACTGTTCAATTTTTAACCCCAAGATCTCATAATTTTTTTCTTTTATTTCATCTCTCTATATCTCTCTCTCTCTCTCTCTCTCTCTCTCTCTCTCTCTCTCTCTCCTTCTCTTCCCTCCTCTTTCTTTTTCTTACTCTTTGTGCCGATCAAGGCTTGGGCTTGGCTATTTATAGCCAATATTTGCTTGATCTTAGATATCTCCCTCTTTTTTATTTTTTCTTTTCTTTAATGCACATTTTTCAAATCTTTGCAAATCTTGAAAGAAAAAAAATATCTTCAACAGGACACTAGTTCCTTCACAAACATATATATAGATATATGTATAGATATTTATATTTATTATATGATACAAAATTTGACCTAAACTATAATAATTTGACTCATTTTCACGCGAAGAGTCTATATTTGAGATCCATTTATTCTTAATAAAAAATTTATTATTTATTTATTTATTTATTTATTATTATTATTATTATATAAAATTATAATTGACGATCTAATTAATATGTTAATAATTAATTTATATACGGGTTGTCGCAGTACAAGCACGAAACAATGGATTTATTGTCATATGAAGTGCTGAAATATTGTCAGAAAATAGAGTCGGTGGTTGAGGCAAATAATGTCCAAGATCTCGGACGATATATGAAATCCAAGTAAGCTCGATTGCCGTGGATGCAAAAGCACGGTACTCAGCTTCAGTGCTGGACCGTGCAACGGTTTGTTGTTTCTTAGCGCTCCAAGAAATACAATTACTTCCCAGATAAGTGCAGAATCCGGTGGTTGACCTTCGATTTAACAGACATCCAGCCCAATCCGAATCCGAGAATCCATATAAGGCCAGAGAAGAACTTCGAGAGAGATGCATTCCGTAGCTAATCGTCCCATGAATGTAACGAAGGATTCTTTTAACCATTTGAAAGTGAAGATTGGTGGGGCTATGCATAAATTGACAGACATAATTCACACTAAATGTGATATCAGGCCTTGTAAAGGTTAAGTATTGAAGTCATCCAACAATGCTTCGGTAAAAAAGAGGATCTGAAAATAGTTGCTCTCCTCCAAGAATAGGATGAAGTTTAGTAGCCATAGGAGTGCTGGCAGGTTGCAGCCTGCCATGTTAGCCTTGACTAGAAGTTCATGTGCATATTGTGTCTGAGTAAGAAATAAACCATCTTCATTCTCAGTAGCTGATACACCAAGAAAATAGTGGAGTTTGCCAAGGTCTTTCATAGAAAACTCAGCACTTAATTGAGCAATAAACTGATGGAAATTTTGGGTTGGATCCTGTCAAGATGATATCATCCACATATAGGAGCAAAAAAAGTAGTCCAAGTCGTGAATGCCAAACGAAGAGTGATGGATCAGCTTTACTGCAAAAGAAGCCGAGGCTGAGTAAAAATGCACTAAATCGATCAAACCAGGCTTGTGGTGCTTGCTGAAGACCGTAGAGAGCCTTTTTAAGATGACAAACATGGTCCGGATGATTGGAATCTTGAAATCCAGGTGGTTGTTCCATGAAAACGGGTTCATGAAGCACACCATGTAGAAAGGCATTTTTACATCAAGTTATCGAATCTCCCAATAATGAGCTAAGGCAATTGTAAGTACAACGCATATCATTGCAGGCTTAACAACTGGTGAGAATGTTTCAAAGAAATCCAAACCTGGAACTTGGTTAAAGCCTTTAGCCACTAATCGAGCTTTCAATTGTTCCAACGATCCATAAACTTGAGTCTTTGTTTTGAAAACCCACTTACACCCGACAACATTCATGTGAGGTTTACGTGGAACAAGATCCCATGTATTGTTATGGAGAAGAGCTGCAATTTCTTCTTCCATTGTAGCTTTCCATCCGGAGTGTTTAAGTGCTGATTTCATGGTTTTGGGTTCTTGGGGTAGTGAGGAAGCCAGGAAGCAGAAATCATCATTAAAGTATTTGCTATTAGGCTTAACAATACCACTACTCTTTCGGGTTACAACCTGGGTGGGTTTTGAAACAGTGGTATGATCAATAAATGGTGTAGAAATTGATAAAGATGGTAAAGATGAATCAAGATGGTTAATAGAAGAGTCGGATGAAGGAGAAGGATCTGTTGGAGCTGCATGTAAACCAACTCCTTGTTCTAATGATAATTCATCAACAAATTGTTCATTGGATGAGTCGGATGAAGGATCTGTTGGAGCTTCATTTAAACCAACTCCTTGTTCTAATGACAATTCATCAGCAAATTATTCATTAGATGTGGGCAGTCTGATGGCATCATCTTGGCCATGGTAAGAAATGGATGAAGTATATCTTTCAACATGTGGATTTGGCAATAAAGGATTATCCTCAGATGTAATAGTAGGGTACTTATGGCCTTCAGGCATGAGTTGCGAGGAAACTTGATTCTCAGCACCTGTGCAACAATCCAAAAATTCTGAAATATCATTAGCCAGGGAATGGGAGAATAATGAACCAGGTTGACGAAATGGAAAGCATGTTTTGTCAAATACCACATGCCGTGAAATGAAAATTCGCCCCGTCGGCGGGTAGTAACACCGATATCCTTTATCAAATTCACTATAGCCGAGGAAAATACATTGCAGTGATCGTGGATCAAGTTTTGTTTTAGCATAATCCCTGAGATATGGAAAACACTTACTTTCAAAGACTCTCAAACAACCGTAGTTAGGTTGCTTACAAAGTAGGAGCTCAAATGGACACTTCTAACCAAGAACTCGAGATGGTTGTCTATTGATTATCCATGTTGCTGTCCCAAATGCTTCGACCCAAAACCTTTTGGGAATTCCTCCATGCAGTAACATAGTAAGTCCCAATTCAGTAATGTTTCGGTGTTTATGCTCGACGAGGCCATTTTGTTCTGGTGTTTTTGGGCATGCTGTTTGAAACTTCATCCCATTATCTCTTACATAGGCATGAAATGTGTTACTAGAGAATTCCCCACCTTCATCACATTGAAAAACTTTGATCTTCTTATCAAATTGTGTTTCCACAAACTTATGAAAACTAATGAAGCACTGGAAAAAATCAGATTTGTGCTTTAATGGAAAAAACCATGTGTATGGAGTACATTCATCCAAAAAAATCACATAATATCGATACTTTTGAAAAGATATCACAGGAGATGACCCCCATAAATCACAATGTATTTGACAGCTATCACAGAAGTTGTCAACCTTATTAACTAGTGCTTGAAATAAGCTTATTTTTGTACAATACCTCTACCACTTTAGACTGTGGATGGCCGAGGCGTTGGTGTAAAATTTGTCACTCGTTTTTGTAAACCTTGTAGAAAGAATGCCATCGTCGGATTCGGCTTCAAGGTGTACAAGCCTCCACTTCTATTACCTGATGTAATCGCTGCCCGGGTGTTCCTTTCCTTTATCACAAAACCACTTGATGAGAATTCAAATGTATAAGAATTATCCTTTGTCAATTAACTAACAGATATCAAGTTCTTTTTGATATTTGGGACCACCAAGACATTATTTAAATGTAGCTGTTTATTACCAACACCCAAGGAAGTGGAACCTATGTGAGAAATAATCAACAATGACCCATTGCCCACTAAAACCTTGTCAGAGCCATTATAAGGTGCAAAGGAAGAGAGATTACCAATGTTGGATGTCATATGGGCTGAAGCCCCTATGTCAGGAAACCATGAGTTGTCTTGGGTTCTCTCAAGCTTCTCAGCAACTAGAGCATGATTGAGAATTTCAGGTTGATAGGCTTGATTAAACCTATGCCAACATTCAATAACTGTGTGTAGAGGTTTGCCACAAATCTGGCAAACCACACTTTCTTCTTTATCACTATGGTTTTGACTTGCACTCCTCAAGGTTGATATGTTGCTAGAATCGTTCCCTGCTTCGTTTTGAATGGATTTGTGGTTTCCCAGCCCTGCTTGAGGGAACCCACGACCCTTGGAATTAAACCACTTGACCTGTTGCTTGCCATTCTTGTTGGCATACTTGCTGCCATTTTTATTTTGCATTTGATGCCTGGAAAATGCAATATTTTGGCTTGGATTGACAAAACCAGTGGTGTTGTTCAATGTCTTCATGGTCTCATGAACTTGAAGAAGAGGAATTATGTCTCTTTATGTTGGAATTGGTGGCTTGAGCATGGAAGTAATGAAGGACTCATAACCAGATCCAAGTCCCTTCAATAAACCGAAAACTTTACTACGGTCATCTACTGGTTTTCTAATAGCAGCTAGATCGTCACAAATGGTTTTAAAAATCAGAATATATTCGGACAATGTATAATCATTTTTACGATGAAATTGAAGTAGTTGAAGCAAATAGAACTCCCTCTCTTGAGTTTCTTGTGCAAAGGCATCAAGAAGTGTCTTCCATACTTCTGCTGAAGTTTCTACTCCAACAACCAGCACCAGAACCTCCTCTGATAATGTTCTAGTTATCCATCCACGGAGAAGTCGATTTGAACGCCTCCATGAAATGAAATTTGGATTGTCTTTGACTATAATCTCTCCTACACCTTCAGCAAAAGAGATTGATATGCGAGGATTAGGCATTGGGAATTCTCCATTAATGAAACCAAGCATCTCTTGGCTTTCAATGAGTCCCATCATTTGGGTTTTCCACCAAAGAAAATTATTTTGGTTTAACTTGATGGAAATAAAATTTCCAACGTTAAGGGTTGAGGGATAAGGATATTTTTGCTGGATGGAAGAGGCCATGTTTGACAAAACAAGAAATAATTTGAGCACAAATGAAGCTTGTGGCTTTAGGAATAGAGCTCTGATACCATAAAGAATTTTTTAAAAACAGAGTTTTGCTTTTGGAGAATCTGGTCTCTTCAATTTTTTGTGAGTACCAGGCATACAATTATTTGTATTTATAATTGAATGTTATACATTCATGGCTAACTTACAACACTACACTCAAGGCTAATTTACAGTAACCTTGCACATGGAAATCATGACAGTCAACTACAGGATTTTCCTCACTCTATCTTTGCCTCATTTTCTTCCATAATTTCTGCATTTCGATTCACATCAATCTACTCCATATTTTCATCATATTGACAATCTTCTTTACCTTCAACGTATTGATTGCAGAATTTTGAGAAAATCAACCTTAATAACTTTGCTGTTTTTTTTTTTTTTTGGGGGGGGGGGGGGGGGGGGGGAGGATAGTTTTAGAACCGGGCAAAAGGATCAAGGATTGGAGTAATCATGCAACTCGAGTAGGTTGGATTAAAAGGCCTACTTAGACTCAACTCAAATTATAACAATCAATTTGAATTCAATCCAAAGAAAGTTCTAGTCGGATATTATTTATACCTAAAATTTTAAACTCGAACAATGCACCTCGGATTGAAAATCCAAGTGAAATACATACTATAGCTGTACACCTACAAAACTAAACTCGAGGTCCATTCATATCGAATTTGAGTTGAATTCAAATTCATTTATTCAAAGATAGTTTTAAATTGAATCATGAAAATCTAAGATTCCAACCCGAGTGTTGTCAAAATCAAGACGCACACAATTTTTACTACTTACTCATCATCAGCGTCACAACACAGGAACTGGAGTGCTATTTGAAATTGATGATGTCCAAAAGATGAATTATTTAAGGTTGGGTTATTGTTAGCTTTGAATTAATCAAAAAGAAAATCATACCATAGTCTTTCACAACAAAAAATGATGAGACTCAAATCTCTCTCATTTTAACTAAGTCTCAATGACTCTGATTTATTATTCAGTTTTATTTTCTTTTAGAGCTCCAACTAAAATTTAAAAAAATATTCAATGTAATGGTTACATTAGGTCAATAGTACCACGTTGATCAAAAAAAAAAAAAAGGTCAATAGTACCACACAATGTTACCACCTAATAGTAAACCAAATGTTCAAGTGAAACCCCGCAAAGTCTAGGAACTATTATATCATCGTAAAGTAATAACTACTTAAGTTAAAAAAAAATGGAGTTCATCTTGCCTATTTATTGACTTATTATTAGATCGTTATATCATGTAACAGTTAACGTGATGTAACTCTGTTTATACCTAAAATTTTGGCTTTCAGCCCTCTAGTATTATTTGAGCCTAAACTCTTCTATCGTGTTTCAATTTCTTTGGCAGCCTAGCTGCACCCCCTCAATCCATTGTACTAGAGTTATCATCTTAGGATGATTGTTGACAAATGCTCATATTACACTCGTAATCTGTAAAGGATGAAAATTAATTATGCGATGTCTACAATGATAATTCAAATATTGTATATGTTATTACTCCGACTTTATCATCTCCATCCCGCACAAACTATGAGATCACCCCAAGGACGCCTTCGGCATCCTGGTATAACTGCTTAGTAATGGAAAACCGCTTTGTTTGGCTAAAAATTTAATCACAAAGCACTATATAAGAACCCTATTTGTCACAAAATTCAACCAACCAACCATAATTCTCTAAACCGTCATGAAATGACACGTTAATTAACAAAGATTAGGTAATTGCCCATAGATAGAATTTTTTTAAAAAAAACTCGCTAATTATTAGAAACTCACTGCAATAGACAATTTCGGTGGATTGAGTCAGGGGTACAAGTAGGGGTACAAGCAAAGACTAAGTGTAAGAGCATCTTCAATCATGACTCAAAATTTTTACTTAAATTTAAGTTAATATTTGAGTAAAAAACTTAATTTGATGCAAAGGGTTCCAATGAACAAACTCAAATTTAAAGAAGGAGAAACTTAATTTAAATGAGGGCAAACCCAAAATTAAATGAAAGTAAAGATGACAATTAGATCTTTAAAAGAGGGTGAAATTTCACCATTAAAATTTTGGATAAGGATTTGAGTCTCCCTTAATTTGAGTAAAAAAAAAAAGTCTCTCTTGATTTGATATAAGTTTGAATAAGGGTTAGAACAAGTTTTTTAGATTTTTTTACTCAAATTCAAATTTGAGTCTAAATTTAAGTTAAAGTTAGAGAAAAATGCACAACGAAGAGCTCGAATTGAATCACCGCTATTGATTTTCGAAACTATACCACAAGAGAGGTCGATAATGCAACAACTATAGAGTGCAGATAGATTGTACATAGACCAATTTTGGGGTTTTAAATTGAAAAGAGAGAGAGAGAGAGGAGGAGGAGGAGGAGGAGGAGGAGGAGCAGAAGAAGAAGAAGAAGAAGAAATGACGAATAGGTTGGCCATGAAATGTTAGGTGGAATGAAAACAAGTTTTTAGGTTCCTTCTTAGTTCGGCGTCTTGTTTGCATTTGATAGACAATAGCGGCGGTCTGGTGCATGGAATTTGCACACATTTCCTTCCTTCCAGTTTTTTTTTCTCTCCTTTTTTTCTTTTGTCGACAATTGAAAAGTGAGATAAAAAATTATGAAAACTTAAAGTAATAAAATAATAATCAAAAGTTAAGATGGTAAAATTATATTTTAAAATATTAAATTATGAATTAATTTTTTTAAAATTTAAATAAATTGAATATAAAGGTAGTTATAGAAGACATTTTTTATAAATATAATTGGTTAAAATAATATGCGATAATTAAATAATTATAAATTATAAATAAAAAAATAGGAGGAAATTATAACAATGAAATTCTCATGATGTAGTCACACTCTCTCTCTTGGATTCAACAATCAATAAAAGTCTTCAAGGAAATTTGTATTTACTTTTTGATATTTTAATTTTATTTTTCCATTTCCTTGATAGACAAATGCATTTGAACTTAGGCACCCTTTCCATTTGGCAAAGATTGCAAAGGCCATGGATGGCAATGTAAAATTAGAATGTAAAAGGGGAGCCAATGGATACAAAAGTAAAATGAGTAATGTTATGTATATTTTAATGCTTTTATAAAATTTTAGACACTAAATGATATAATCTATTTATATAATAAAGCAACTTACGATTCTAATTTCAAAAGATAAATAAAATGACTTTTGTTATTCGCTGTTAAGATTGTTTTAAAGTTTACTTTAAAATTAATTTAACGAATAATATTAACATCCTAAATTTAATAAAAAAAAAATAGGTCCTTAAGGGTGTGTTTGTAGTGACTTTTTAAAAGTACTTTTAAGAATTATTTTTCATAAATACTTTAAAAAAAAAAGTGTTTGAGATCGCCCCACCACTAACTCTACCACCACTAAGGGTGTCAAACGTGTCGGATTAAACGGTTATATGTCGGGTTAAACGGGTGACGGATTGAAAATATATAAATCTGTACACGACATGTTTAATAAACGGATAAAAAACTCAACACGAACCCGATCTGTTTAATAAATGGGTAACATGACACGACTCGTTTAACCCATTTAATTTTAAAAAAATTATATTAACAAATTTTAATACTCCACTTTTTTTTATTGTCAATTGCACTTACCTTAAAAAAGATACATTTTTAGCCTAACCTCATAAAAATAAGACTTGAAGGCTTAAAAAAAAAGCAAGAGGTCATTACTTTTTATAGGCAACTTAACCCTCCCCATCTCCCCTCATTTTTCAATATGGGACAAAAACAAAAAGCATTGATTTGCCTTTGTCTTTGAAATGCTCCTCATCTCCTCTCTTTTGTCTTTGACTATTACTTTACTTTTTTTTTATTGATTTTTTTACTTCTTTTTTTCTTGCTAATTTTTTAAAATAATTATTAATTTTATTTAAACGAATAAACGTGTGATAAACGGTTTGTAAACGGTTTGATAGGTCTCACCCGAATACGACCCATTTATTAAACGTGTTTGGTGTGTCAACCCATTTATCACTTAAACCTGTTAAGATCTCACTCAAACTCGTTTAATTCGTGTCAGTTAATCATGTCGTGTCGAATTTTGACAGTCTTAACCACTACCACCTCTGCCACCATCGCCACCACCGCCACCCCCCACCGCCATTGCCACCATCACCGCCACTGCTATCGCCACCATCACTGCCTCGCTGCTACCACCATCACTACTACGGTCATTGCCACCCACCACAACCATCACCATCTCCTACCATCACCATTGTCGCCCACTACCTATCATGCCCACTATAAATCAATATTTAAATTTATTTATCTCTTTTCTATGTTTCAAATTTAATTTTGAATATAGATATAAATATGTTTATTGTTTATTATTTTTTATTATTATGTGGCTTCAGGCACAAACAATAACTATTATATTATAATTCAGTAAATAATAAGTAAAAGTTAGTGGGACCTGTTAATCAAGCCATCCATCGAAATTGATTTGATATGCTAGACTTTTTGGTATTTGTAGCTTGAGATTTTTTTTCCCTACTATTTTGTCGGTTGAAAAAATTATAAATCCAAAACTACTCATGTACATTTGGGTCATTTCACTGTCTTTTAGCAGCTTAGCTTAGGTTCTAAATGATCTAATACACTAATTAGAAGCAAATTAATTAATTTAATTTAACTAGACAAAAATTTTATCTAAATTATTTAAGTTGGACTTTATATTTTCTGATGTGCTACTGGGCCCCGGTCTCATATTTAAATAAATTTACCCTTTCTCGTATTTATCTCCGGTCAATAGTTTATAGATTGGAGAGAATATTGTCTCACTCTAACTCTTGAACCATGTAATTTGTTTCACTATGTCCCAAAAAGCTAGTGACAAGTGGACACTTTTTGTCCAAAACGTAGGGGATTTTTCATTTTTGTCACAGTTCAATAGGACAATGTGAAATTAATGTGAATATTCAACAATTGATGGGACAAAATGAGATTGAGGCCATAGTTAGGGGTCAAAGTGTAATTTTTCCAACCAAGATTAGCTGTCATTCCGGCGATGGGATTAGGTACCTCTGCCATCTCTTATTAGTAATCCTCCGAATAACCCCAAAAAGGTTTTTTGCTTGAAATGCTGCAGATAATTAACTTAAATAATTCATTTTTTATGTCTGAGTTTCGAGGTAAGAGAGTGACCTAGTGATAAGAGCTTACTCATGTTGTTAGTAGTTACCGTTTATAAACATCATCCCATTTTCTCTCCCTTTTTCCCCTCCCCCAAGACAAAAAATTAGAAAAGGAGCATTTTTTTGGCAATAGCATGACAATTTCTTTTGCATTTGGATACCCTCTGTGTTCCAAACAAGAAAAATCCATCTTTCAACATTCCTTTGGTTCCTTAATATGAATCTTTGTCCAAATAAATGCATAATTTCCTCCACATGCCCAGATATTTAATTACAGTTTGATATAAGAAAATCAAATTGGAAACGACATAATCCAAAGAATAGTAAGAATTCCATTATAAAAAAGTATTCATCAACAGTTTGATATAAAAAAAAAATCAAATTGGAAACACATGACCCAAATAATAGGTGGTGAGAAATTTCACGATAAAGAGATTTGTATCAACAGGTGGGGGAGATACAACTATGGTGAAAATTCCATATCCTTCAAACATGAATCTACAAAAGATAATGGAAACATGACCGAGCTGTAATCCTAAATGTCTAGAATTTGAATTTTGATAATTCTTTAAGATTAGATCATGAGAGATTTATCCTGACATTATTTTATTCTTGATATTTAGCCAGACTGAGAAAAAGATTAGTTGATATGTGCGTAAGTTAATCCGGACACACAAGAATTGAATAAAAAAAAAAATTATGGAAACGCCCAGTTTTTTTAAATCCTATGAGCTATTTTTTTCCTGATCATTGAACCCTTTGGCTTGCCAAAGGAACCACTTCAACCAGAGGAGTGGAGAGGGGTGTCGGGATTGGAGAAGTTCTACAGACTGGACAGGTAGGGTTCCGCCGCAGCCACGGATCAACACACTTGAGGTGAAAGAGGTGGCCACAATCCGGCAACAGGCGGAGCATATCACTGCCCCTGTAATCTGCCAAGCAAATGGAGCAGCAGGTGGCCGTGGTGGTGGTGGCGTCCTTATTTTTGACCCTGACCTCGGAGTAGAATAGCATTGGGTAGCTATGAAGGGTGGCCTCATCAAGCCCCACATCAACAACATAAAACTCCGGGTCGTCGGGTGGCGGCAGGACGTTCCTTTGCGGTAGTGCATGTGATTGCGCGTGAGTCCTCCTGCTGCAGTGGTAATAGTATGAGACAAAGATGACGGCGGTGATCAGGAGGAGAATTCCTAGCATAGCTCCGACACCATACGCGAAGGTGGCGACATTTGCGGAACCCAGAAAACCCCCCGAGCTGCTTGTTGCGTTCATCTCCTTGAGAGAGAAGATGAAGAGGGAATTTAGTTGTAATTGGAGAAGAGAAGAGAAGAGATATGATCAGCCCTGACCTTGGCCAAAGCTGATGGTTGCTTGGGGTTTAAATTTTTTGGAAGTCAACAGTAACGTGAAACGCAAGGGAAGATTATTGTTAATTAAAGCTTGAATTAAGGGGGATGTTTCTGAATAAGAAAAGGGGCGTATTATTGTTTGGTTTAAGTTAGGTCTACTAAATCACCATCCAAACATGTCACTAACACATAAAAAAAATAATATATAAGCAAACGAATTGCATATAATTCAATAATCATCTCGACGTGTAATATAATAACTATTTTATGTAAAAAGTGAGTTTCACTTTATTCATTTAATTTTTTTTATTGAATATTAATTGTTCAAATAGTAACAGAGACGAACGGTAAATAAGAATATTCACCTTATCTTACGGATAGGAATCATGGTATTTCATCTTCCTACCTGATATTTTGTGAAAATTTTTTTTTCTTGAACTACCCTATATGATCAAGCGCACTATTTCTACACGAATTCCATCCAAAATAATAGGTGAAAAGTTGAGTGAATACATATTTTTTAGTTATTAATTTTTGGATCATTTTAATAATTCAATTAAGTATCTTGCATCAATTAACTAACATAATAAACCAATAACATTGAAGAAAATACAATAAATTTAATAGAGCATAAACAATGACAATAACACAGCAAGATTAATACGTATCAATAAAATATTAGAGTTTCTAGATTTTGGATTTTGATTTTTTGAGATTAATATATATGTGTATGTGTGTACGGAAATTTTATAAGTATTTCGCATTTCTACCAGATTTTTGCAAAATACCAAAAGATATTATGTTGACCTACCCGATTCTTTCGCGTAGCTAATCAATAAAATCGAGTAAGATAAGGTAGGATCAGAATTTGCAGGTAATTAGAAATTTAAACACCCCCTAGTTATAAATCTAGACGTCCTAAATTCAAATATTGGTAACATCTTGAGTTCAGACGGGACAAATCTCTTGTGACTACCTTAGTCTTAGCGTGGATGATCTACTTTTGATTAGATTGGAGAGGAGGAGATTAGTTGAAATACGCGTAAATTGGTTTAGACACTCCTGATCATTGAACAAAAAAAAAATCACATAATAATGATAATGTATCGTCACCGTTATATTCAATATTTACTCAACATAAGAAAACACATACTTATCTACTATTGTACACTCTCTTCACCGAGTGATGTAAGATTGGATCTCCAAACCCTCTGGTCGCCACCTCAAATTGGGGTGTACGATGAGATGCACAGTCTTAGGTGGCTTCTATACATGAAGGATCAATGGCTCTATGACCTGTTATAATGCCAAACCCACATTGTATGGTATGTTTTGCTTGGGGTTAGGCTCACATGAATCAAAAGCGCGACTTAGAATGAAGATTTAAAGCTTATATTATCAATCTTTACACGTCCACAGGCGATGTGAAATTATATCATCACCAACATGTAATGTGTACATGATGCTTTTACTATGTGTTTAGTTAGTGAGACTAATGAGTTTCTCTCTCAGGATTTTTTATCGTCTTTCTTTAGCCGAATTCTACAACCATGTTATTACATATCTCTCTCACACACACATACACACAAACACAAACACAGAGACTAAATTGCACGTTCCATGATGCATAGCTAGCCAGTTCTTTTCTTTTTTGATTTAAATAGGTAAGATGATATTGATTTTCCACATGACAGGATGTTGCAAAACTCTCTCTCTTTCTCTATCTCTCTCACACACAAAAATAATAGACAGCCAGCCATATATGGTCAATTGGAAGCCATTACTATGAACTAAGTTGTGCTGGCAGGTGTATAAAATTGAAGGAAACTTTGTATATGGCTTAAATTAAGAAGAGCATGAAACAATTTCCTTCTGGTTGAGCCAATCATGATGAGAGAGAGAGACCACAGGGTTGATTTTGCTGGTTGGTGGAACCATACGTATCAAATTGGACTACCTTCTAGTTGTGGTTGGTTTGGAGTTGTTAGCTATATAGTTGCTCTTCAAATGATAGAACTCATCTCTGAGGTCACATGATGTAACCATCTATTTGTTTATGTACACATAAAGATACAAGATATGTGTATAATATAATACGGATATAGCGATACGACAAAACCTAAAAAAATATGATACGGGTACAACTGGGATAAGTTTATTATAAAATATATTTTTTATTTTATCATTATTGAACAACTTAAAAATTATAATTTTGTAATTCTTTAATAATAGTAAACAAAATTAGTAATTTTTAGTTTTAAAAAAATGTAATATTGTCTTATTATGATAGTGACTAATTAAAAGAATTAGAACCAACATTTAATTAGTTAGTTTACTTACAAGTATTTGTTTCTAAGGTTATAGTGTAACTAATTCATTTTTTTTATACTCTACTCTATTGACATGTTATGGTAGATAATACTTAAAAAACACTCACATTTTTCTTGTCAAGTTTACATACAATACAAGAATAAAAATTATATATCTTGCATCATGAATAAAAGTATCTACAAAGTATCCATATATTTTATTAATTACCGAATGTGTATATGATATGTATCCTGAAATATTCAATACGGTATCTAATAGAAGACTATGTCAAACAGAAGACCTCTTCTCCTACTGAAGATAAGGATGAAAACTGATCTTCAACATTTATCTGATATTGTACATTCTAACTATACAACTGGAGTCTTTTTTGATTTATACAAATTCATTGTAAACTGATTGTTACCAAATAGGACATACAGTTAAACTAGGGTTCTACAAATACTTGTATCAGATTATGTTCACAATCAATGAAAAGCATATAGAAAAATTTCCCACAAATTGGCTTTTCACTTTACATGGTATCAGTGAGCCACTAGATCAACGTCACACAAAACGCTACGCAGGGGCCGGCCCAACATGATGGGAAAAAAAAAGGTGAAAATTGGATGGGAATTCCCTTAAATGTATTTGTTTGAAGATAAGTCCCGCAAGAAAACTTATAAGAGATTAAGTCCATCTTTAAAATTTTATATAATGACTTAAGTCTACTTTTTTTTTATCTCAAAAATATTTTTCTTTAAAAAGAAGTTAATTTTTTCTCCCTCATATCTATCTATATATATATATATATATATATATATATATATAGTAACATTAAAAAAAATAGTAACATTCAAATACAAAAAAAAGTTACTATGAATTTGAATAGTAAAATTCAAATTCATGTTACTATTTTTTTATTATGTTATTGTTCATGTTACTGCTTTTGTTGAGTATGTTATTGTTCATGTATTATTATTTCTGAGCATGTTATTATTTTTGTTGACCATATTATTACTATTATTTTTTAAAATATTAATATTCAATGTTACTATTTTTTTTTTGAATATTACTATTTTTTTTATTTGAACGATACTATTATTTGAATTTGAGAGAAATAATTATTTTTAAGTATGATAGAGTTTTTGTTAAGCATGTTACTATTTTTGTTGAACATGTTAATATTTTTGTTGAATATGTTATTGTTGTTATTTTTTAAAAATATTAATATTGCATGTTTCAATTTTTTTTATGTTTAACTGTTACAATTTTTTTGTGTTTAAATGTATTATTTTTTGTGTCCAAATAATAACTTTTTTTTGTATTTGAATGTTATTATTTTTTATTTTTAATGTTAATATATATATATATATATATATATATAGATAAGAGAGAGAAAAAATTTTAATGTTAGTCAAACTCTTAACTTAAATATGGATATAGATAGATATGAGAGAAAAAAAATTTTAATGTTAGTCAAACTCCTAAAATTTAAGAGTTTTTAATTTTTACTTCTTTATTTCACTTCTAAATGGAAGGAATAGTATAGTAAAATTGACAAAAAACGGACTTTATAACAAATAAGTTTCCTTGACGGACTTAAGTCAAAACAAGTCCATGTAGGGGAACCGGCCTCCAAATTTTCTAAAAAAAAGCATTAGTTTTAGGCCCCAAATTTTTAGAAGGTCTCATAAGTTTAGGTACATTACTAGCCCACCAAAAAAAAAATTAAATTCCTTAAATTTTAAGCTCTACAAAAAAGCTCTAAGAAATTAAGGATATTTTGGGTGTAGGTATAATTGTTTAGACTTATTTAAACATAAGTGTATAAATAAGTTGTTTACTCTAATAAGTACAATTTTTATAAAATTTTTTGTGTCTAGGTACAAATTTTAAATGAATTAAAAACTTTTTTACCTAAACACCCTCTCTTAAATTATGCAATCATCATTGACAATTATTTGAGAAAATAAATATTAAAAGATTAACAATAGTAATGAGAGGTAAAATAGGAGCATTAATGATCAAAACCCTTCTTCTTTGGCAACATAATTCTATGGCAATGAGATTTAATTAAAATGCCACAAATTATATGTGAATAAATACTGAATTTTTCCCAAAAAGAAAAAATTGGCCAAGATGTTTTGTTAAATATTATATATTGTTCGTTGTTGAGATGTAGGGAAAAAAGAACTTTTTTATTTTTTTTAACGGGTGTAACTATTTTTTTAATTTGTGTAACTGTTTTTTTAATGGGTGCAACTATTTTTTAATCAGTGTAACTATTTTTTTAATGAATGTAACTATTTTTTAATAAGTGTAACTTTTTTTTTTAATGAGTGTAACTATTTTTTAATAGGTGTAACAATCACAGTATCATATAATTGTTAAGATATGATAGTGTAACGATATCGCGATACTAAATGATGTAACTATTTAGTTTATGTAAACAACTGAATAATAAATTAGGTTGGTGTTATAATTTTGTGTAATTGTTTTGTGTAACTGTGTGATTTATTAGAACACATGAATAACTGTTTAGTATATTATAGAAAAATTGTAACTAATTAGTGTAACTGATTAGTGTAATTATATTGTTGTAATATTAATATAAATAGAGTAAGAGAAAATAGAGAGAGAAAAAAAATTGTTAGAGAAATATGGTTTATTTTACCTCTCATTACTTGATTGTAGTTAAAATATATGGAAGGAATACAAGGGGTTTCAACCCATCAGTTATTTGTTGAATGACAATATTGTCATGTTTTTAAAATTATACACTTTAGCCCAAATAAGTTTTTGTGTTGTATTTTTACTCAAATAAGTCTAAAAAATTATACCAGCTTCCAAATCACCCAAAAATTAAATTCAATCAAAATTTTTATTGTAATAATTTGGGCCTATAATCCAATTCATGATATTAAAAACTTAGAAATTAAAAAAATTAAAAAATACTCAAAAGTCAACTCATATTTACTCTCACTCACACTCTCTCTCTCTCTCTCTCTTTCTTTCTTTCTCTAGAAAAAAATATAAAAAAATAAATAAAAGTTGAAATTAAAGACTTTCACTCCCTCTTAATAATAAAAAATAAAAATAAAAGTTGAAATATCTTTCTCGACAACATTAACACATCTTTTTTTTTTGTCTCTCTATCACATAAAAAATTAAAAATAAATTAATATTTTTTAAAAAAAATACTAAAAATAAAAGGATCTCCATTTAATATTTCCACTTTAAGCCTTAAATTACCTTTGGGACCTCGCCCAACCTACTCACCGTTAAGCTCAACAATCAAAATTATCCTGTCTCGAAAGATCGAGCCATCCCTTACTTCCGTGGCCAAGATTTCTCTGGTTACCTTGAGACATTTTATGAGACATTTTATGTTTAATATTAATATTTTTTATTTAAATTTTTTTTTTTGAGTTACAAAAGTATTAATTAAGTTTTTATATCCAAATTTGGCTACCATATCTTTTTCAATTGATAGTATCGCTAATTCAGTTAATCTTTCTTGTGACATAGTCAATTTTTAATAAGATTTTATAAATTTTTATTTTGAAAAAATTTCTTTCTGCAGAAGAAACTGTTAGATGAATTGTTAATAATATTCTATAAGTAATGCATGCATTTGTAAAAAAATGTAATTTTTTTATATAATTAAATATCTCAATTGAATTATTTTCTTTCGTTTGTAAAATTTCTTTTAAAACATTTAGTTCTAAATATAAATCTAAGTCATCAATATCAGAAAAATTTTCATGTTTGAAGAAACATTCGAGATCCAATCAATATTATTTTAAACTATCATTGGTCAATGATTTTAATTTTTCAAAATTAAATAAAAAATCAAAAATATTTTCATACTTTTATAATTGTTAAAATCTATTCTTCAGTGAAAAAATAGTTTGATCAATTATATATGTAAAACAATCAATTTTAAAAGATTCTTCAATGGATTGTGTTACCTCATCATCAAAATTTTCACCAAATTGTTTTTTCTACGAATTTTGCATTTTTCACGAAATATAGATTTTATATCCATTTCACATGCAATCTCTTTTGATGAAATCATAGCATTTGTAAATCCATTTTTCCTATATTTTACAAAAAAAAATGAGACATTTTAACTGATCTATAGCAATATCAATATGCATGTCTTTTGATTGTAAATATTTACTAATTAAACTGACGGAAAATAAAATATAATACCAAATAGTCATGCCCAATAAGAATTCAAAATTTTCAATCTCATATGTTGCTAAACAATAAGTTTCACCGCTTGTTTTATGATCTTCACTAGTTTCCGCTAATTGCAATAATGCATCTCTTATTTTTAGAGCTTGAAATCTTATTATTTTAACACTTTCAACACGACTTTCCCAACGTGTTTGTGATAATGACTTAAGAGTGAAATCTTAAATATTATCTTTTAAAATTTTTCATCGTTTTGTAGAAGAGAAAAATAATAAACATATATGTTGTACTATTCTAAAAAATAATATAGCCTTGAGACAAGAGTTAACCATATTATAAAGTATTAGATTTAAATTATAATAACCACATGATGTGTAAAATACTCTAAAATTTATTTTGAATAGCCTTTTTTATACACTTTGATGTTTTGCTTTCATATTAGACTTCATTATCATATCCTTGTCCTTGTTCAAGATTACTCATTACATCTGTAAATTTATCAAATAATCATTTTATACTCGTATCATACTTTAATAAACTCTAAAAAATATTCTTCTATTTTTATTGGACTTATTGTAATATATACGCATCGTAATATGAGAGACATTTGTTTTTGATGACTTGCATCGAGAGTATAATCAAGTATGATTGAACAATATTTTACTTATTTAATTTTTTTTAATAATATTGTTTCTTACTTCATTTTCTAACAAACTTACTAATTCATTTTGTATGTTATGTCCAAGGTAATAATTATGAATTTTATCTTGTTGAATATGACGAATGTGTCCTTGTATTATCAAATTAAATTCTGTAATTATTTTAATTAAATTTTAAAAATTATTATTATTTTTTTGATATATTCTTTTATTTTTTTTAAAAAAAATTAAATTATTTTTACCAAGATTTTTTACGGCGACAATAATTCTTAGTAATATATTTTATCAATACTCTTTGTCTCTATTAATTTGTTGTTAAATGCTTTTATCGGTTGTTTTATTTAGTTGTAATCTTGTTTCCAGTCATATTTCTTTAAGTTCAGCCAATGCTGAGCTCGCTGTGTTCCTATCCAAGGTCGATGAAATCTCTCTTCTCACCATCAACACCACCAACTTCTCGCCGGTACCAACTCTCTCTCTCTTCATTTTTCAATCATTACGTATACGTGTGTGTATTAATAGAAGTTTATGTATGTGGGTAGGTGTGTGCTTTAATCTGGGGGTTTTGGTCTTGTTTGTTTGTATATATGCTGAAAAATGGGCTTAGATCTGAATTAGGGTCGTTTGGTTGCTGAGAAGAAAACATTACGTGTTTATTTGTGGTGTTTAGGTTGTTTTTACTTGAATGTATCCTGGAATTCAACCTAGATCTTCAATGGGTTTGCTTGATTGTTGAAAAAAGAAGCGGGAAACAGAAGAGATATAGGAGGTAAATTTTGAATTTTGTGCTTTAAGATGACTTGGTTTAGGTAAATGTTGGGAAAAATTGGATCAGCCCTGTAATTGTGGAGTTGATTTGAAATTTTATATAGTTATTTACCAGGTGTTTTGGTCAGCATTCTGGTTTTCAGCTTTCATATCTTTGTTGCTTGATTCAATAGCATTGCCAAATATATTGTTTGTTGGCCGAAGGGTACTATGACACTCCTGGTTTTGATGGTTGAATTCCCTTTTGTTTCATGTGTATCTGTATGTTAGAATGAGAGTATCTGAGAAATGATTGCATTATAAGAGTTGTACCCCTCAAACCTGTTCATATGCCATGCCTGCATCTACAGTTTTGATATCGGCAATTGGTGGATGAGATGGGCAAACCAGCATGGCCAGGATATCTTTCGGATAATTGAATGCCTCATTCTCTCTTTTGTAAGATGCTTAGAACTTGTCCATGCTTTGAGTGACAGGTCTCTTGGTTCATAATTCAGTTGTGGGTTCTGATTCCATTCAGTATGCAATATTTGTTCATTGAATCCTTGCCACAAAGGTACTCTTTTTTTTTTTCTCTCTCGTTTTCTTTTGTCTTTTTTATTTTATCCTGGGAGAGGGGAGGGGTAAACACAATTTCTGTTTCTAGTTTACTCTTGTGAGAAGAAGTGTATGATGGACATATTTAATAACATGATACAAAGTTTGGTGTCTATATAGCTGCTGAGATTCTGTGTGATATCTGTCAGCTGATTGATTATTGAAGGAAGACAATGTAATGTTATCCACTCTAGTACATTCATCTTGGGTTATAATTTCTGATTATTTGCCTCATAGAGGGTTAGCATGCCAAATATGATAAAAAAATCTAATCTCCTGAAATATTTTGTGCTTTCTAAGGATTCATATGGAGGGTATATGGTGGCGTTTGCTAGCAGAAAATATGCAGCAAGGTCTGTCCCTGCTTTCGTTGCAAACAGTACATATATCGTGACCAGCTTTACTCTGGTAAGAGAAACTGTTGTCTTTTACAAGTTTTGATTAAAAAATGAACTTACACATGCATCTAGCAAGATCAATATGATTTTACCAATAGAGGTTCTTGAATTCAAGAAGGGTAGGCTGCAAAATTTGTATTGGAAGAGAGATGGCTGCGCTTCATGCTCTGGCAACTCTAGTTTTGTCTGCCTCAACAATCAGGACAGTGCAATCAAAATGAGTCATTGTAAGAACCGAGGGGGTTCCGTAGATTGTAGCCTTGGGATACAACTGGCGTTTTCTGGCACAGATAAGCATGATTCTGTTTTCTAGTTGTAGTATGAAGTGAAGAACCTTCGCCAGTACTCCCTTTATGGGCTTTATTCCAATCTCAAGGACTCTCACTAGCCAATGCAACAAGTTCTCTGTTCACAGATGGTTTGTACATTTATTCGAAGGTGTATGTTGTAATTTTCTGTTTTCATGTCTTTTCGGGTTGTTTCTCTCTTTTTCTTTCCTTTTGGTGGCAGAATGATCTTCTCTTACTCTCTTTTTATATATTGCTACTAGTCATAACCGTGCCTAAAGACACGATAAAATATAAAATTTGAATGTCCAAAAAATCGATTCCACTATATTGAATTTTTTCAACACATGTATACTATCGTATATGAATAATGTTTAAAAAAAATCATGTTAATTACAAATTAATTATATATTAATTGATTAAACATATAATAAAATAAGTGATGTGATATTTTTAGGGGGGAAATATGTAACTGATTAAACATGTGATAGAAATGAATGATATGATATTTTTAGGGGGGAAAATATGTAGGAAATAAAAATTCAAGTAGCTATGTGTTTTATTATATAAATGTTCTTGAAAGAGTTTTGTGATTCTTTGTATCCTTGACAGATATATATATATAATATAAAGTAGCTTACATTTCAAATCTCAAAAGATAAACAAAATGACTTGCTATTCGCTGTTAAGATCGTTTTAAATTTTACTTTAAAGTTAATCTAATGACTAATATTAAAACTTCAAATTTAATAGAAAAAAATAGGTCCCTAAGGGTGTGCTTGGAATAATTTTTTAAAAGTGTTTGTAGAAATTATTTCTTATAAGCACTTTAAAAAAAAAAAAAATATTGTTTTGAACCGCTCCATCACTACCTCTACCACCACCACCACCGTCGCCGTCGCCGCCATCACCACCGCCAGTGCCACCGCCACCCCCCGCCACCACCACTGCGACCGTCTCCACCACAACCACCTCCACCTCCACCTCCACCTCCATCGCCGTCACCACCACCGCCACCTCCATCATCGCCACCACTGCCACGTCATCATTGTCGCCATCATCACCACCCCCACCCCCACCGTCGCCACCACCATCACAACTATTACTGTCTTCTACTACCACCACTACCGTCTACTATTTTTCACCCCCACTACAAATCGATATTTAAATTCTTTTATTTTTTCTCTATGTTTGCGATTTAATTTTGGATATAAATATAAATATATTTATTGTTTACCATTTTTTATTACTTTGTGGCTTTAGGCACAGACAATAACTAGTATATATATATATTGTATCTGAATATTTCTTCGCCGATCATTTTTTGAATGGACCCAATTAAGGAATTCAACTTGGCTGTTATGTGTGGGTGGAGCCATGAGCTCTTGATGCAGTGGAGCTGAGTTTGTTTGGTGAATATAGATAATGTGATGCGTCGGAGACTTGGAGTAGGGTCAAGTGAATAAGAGGCTTTGGGAATTTTAAGAGGTATCTGATGGGTATCCGAATCCTTCTTATCTCTTGCTTCTGTCCTATCCTTCTTCTCACAGACTCTGTTTAGTCATGTTGATTTTCAGCTCTATTCGAGCCCAGGGAAACAAGCAGGCAAATTGGCTTGAAGTAATCGGGTTGGACCTTGGTCGAACATGATACTTTCACCTTTTCAGACCTTAAGATAAGTTTGAGTTAAGTTTAAGCTTTGGGGAGATGTATCACTTCAACTGTTAATATTAATCCTGATTTTGCTACAGGATTGTTGCTTGGAGACTTCGGAAGTAGAATTTGAGTTATGCTTTCCTACCCCGCTTCTACTTGGGTTGGAGTTAGGTACATGCTCAAGTTCATGTCAAACCATTCACTCAATTTATATGCTATATCCCTGAATGTGTACTTGCCTTCCTCTTGGTGCTTATCTTACCTTGGCAAATCACAATCTGAGCTGCTTAAATATTCTCTGTTCATGTCTGATCATGAATCCTAAAAGAATTACTGTTTTGTTTATGGCTCATATTTGTTTCCTTTCCTGCGTTTACTTATTTAGCATCATTGTCAATTGCCCCATTGTTTGACGCCAACTATACAAAGAAACCTTCTATACTTGAAACTACAGGAATTTGCTCTTGTTTTACAACTTATGTAGTTTTCCAGGAGCAGGGATGACATTTTTCAGGTAGTACAATGAACGAAAAGCTGTGCAGGAAACTTATTACCTAGGGATGACATTTTTCAGCTTTGATATTTCTCTGTGTCTTCTCCTTCACTGATCTACAATCATCAAAAAAGAAGATAAAAGTAAAAAAGGAATTGTATGGCAAAAGCCAAACTATTGGACATGGTATTCTTAAAAGCATTAAAAAGTAAAAAATGCTCGGATCTCCTTCAAGTATAATTTTTAAATAGGAAGAATCTACTTCTGCAGAGGTGAACTCTCAAAGTTCAATGCTACCAGCTCACGAAAGCAAGATCCAGGTAAGCTATTGATTTTTATTTGGGTGAAATACTTGCACGTACATAGAGACAAGCAGATGAGATTGGGGATAGGATGTTGGATCCAACTTTCACTTTGATCTTTGGAAATACAGAAGAAACCGAAATCTTAAGAAAAGAATATTGGCAGCCAAAAATTTTAAATTTCTAAATCACTGGAATCTGGAAAATAAAATTTAACAGTAAAAGCAAAGGCGGTTATAGGTGTTTATAGGCAGAGATACTCAGCATGCATTTGGCAGAGTAACTAATAATTCACCGTTCATAAAGGAAACAATCAACAAGTTCTGATAGAAGCCACTAAAGTGCAAGTGATTGCCAACGAGGGGGAAAAAAGAGCAGAAAAAAAAATCCAAGAAAATGAAAGGAAATATCAGAAAAGTTGTTACACAAGAACCAAAAGAGAAACACCATTACTTCAGATAATAATCTGGTCCTCATAAAATACATGTATGAGTGCATAATAGAATTTTTTTTTTTCTTTATATTTTTTTTTTTTGGGCGGGAGGGGGAGAGGGGAAGGGGGCTTGAACCCTTGACCTAAAGAAAGCAAAGCTTTCACAAGATAAGGAGTACCATTGGGCTAAAGACCCATTGGTAGTACATAATAGAATAAAATTCGACATTAAGGAGAGAAAATATGAGGCAAAAAGTGATCGAGATCATCAGGCAGCTGATCATCTTTTTCACCAGCACCACTGCTGTTGGCAATGTCCTTCAGTCATAGCCCCATGTATTTCCCTCCAGTTGGACCAGTGATGCCATTTACTTGATCTGCTGGATCTAAGATGTGCTGGTCATTCATTGATTTTTTCACCAACTCATGAATGGAGGTCCTATGGTCTCCACTAAGGCTATGAATTTGACCAACCTCTTCAGATGCTGCCATTGGAGGAGCTACCTGAGGAAGGGGATGAAGAGGAAGGCTATCTTTCTGTTGAAGCTGAGGGCTAGGAAGTGCAGAAGAGCCCTGCCTATCAAGTTCTTGGTTCCTTTGCTCAAGTTGCTTTAGCTTCTCAGCTGATAACCAATACAAACCATTTAACCGTGTTACATCAAGTTCATTTAGGTCTTTACCTCGAATGAGTTGGTTCATGATTTCTTCCAATTCTTTCTCGCTGTTTTTCCTTTCATCCCGTGAAATTTTGTCCATCTCTTTCTTCACCCTTTCCTTAAGGTAGCTTTCTTGGGTCACCAATTTCTTGTTTCTTTCCATCTCTGGTACAATCATCAATCTTTTGAACATTTGTTCCATCTCTTGGTGAGATGGAAAAAATACAGGATCATCCTTTCGATTATTAATGATGACACCTGCTTCTACTCCACACAGGACAGAAAGCTCTCTTACCTTCTTAAACAAGCCAGCCATCCTTCTCTTAAGGGTGGACTTTCTTGCTCTCTCATTTTCAATTCTTTGGATTTTAATCTTCCTTCTTGTCATTTCTAATGTCTTCACTGGTTCTTCTTCTATACCTCTGGCCTCATGTATACTGAAACAAATCAACATCAAGAGATGTTACTTATTCAAAATTGGAAATAAAAATAACATAATGTACTGGTCAAACAAATGGCAGCAAAATTTATGTGAATTTGGTTGTCTAATAAAAGAGATAAACTTTGAGGCTTAAAATGGTAGGACAATGTATTAACTTTGAATTATAGGTTTCAAGATTATATACTGACCATTGGATTTTGACATACAACATACTTATCTCTTTCCACATTGAATCCAATGACCTTTAACAAATAATGGTGTGAAAGGAAGACCGGCGATTTAATATTTTTCCAGGCTAGACCCTCAAATTAAAGGAGCGTCTTAGAAATTCAAATTTGGTCAAATCATTTCATTCCCTCCTTCCAAAATTGGAGGATATTTTCCTTTTTCACAAGCTGCAGAATGATTACTTTTGCTCAAAAGTTAGCATGTGGTTATTCAGTCTTCCACCTACCATATCTTACCAAGGCAATTACTACTTAACCAAAAATGATACTGCGTCAAACAAAGACAAAAAAGAACAATCGAGAGAATATCCGCTAGTTGCTTTATATTGAAAAACTATATTATTTGCTTAGTTGTGTTTGAGAGTATATCCACTTATTGATTCCCATAGGCATCGTAATTTTCCCAACCATGTACTACCTCATGCTACTGTAATTCAAAAGATAAAAAAAGTAGATGACTTAACCAAATACTTAACCATGTACTACCTCATGTACTCCCTCTTGCTACTGTACCTCATCCGTGCCTACCGTGATGATTTTTTACTGGGGGAATTAATTCAATCAGGCCTTTATAAACCAATAACTTTGATGTTGTTGCCATGAAACTGATGGCCCTCATGAACTCGTTCATTTTGTACTGACTCAACCTTCTCTCTTCTCATCTTCCTCGCTGTCACTCATTATATTGCTTACTTTTCCACCTACAAGTGTAACCAAGATATAAACCATCCAGGATTATTTGCATTTAAGCTAGTGTAGGTACAGAATAAATCAATTTGAATTCAACTTTTACAGCTAGTCCTGAACAACTGAATGCAGGTAGCATAAGAAAACAGCATGCAATATCTTGATTTATGTTTTAATCCCATAGCATGAATTTTGACATGGCTAAATCTTTTAGATGAATCAAAAAAAAAAAAAAATTCACACTGAATATATATCTAGGCTGCATTACAACCGCTCTTATACAATAATGTTATCACTGAAACAGAAAATGAAAACAGAATATGAATGGAAATGTTATTATTGACCCTGCGATTTGATTTTGGATTTTGGTATCCCTAGTAACCTGCTACTGGCATCAGATAAACGTTATGGACTTGCAAACTCTGGCCTTGGATTTAAATAACAGTTGAAAGTACCCTTTTAGTCTTTAGTTTTGGACGAAGTTTACATTTTGTCTCCTTCAGTTTTTGAGGAAATCTAGTTGTAAGCTATTGCAGCAACCTTTCCCTATCTTCCATTCCTTCAATGTTTAGAGTTTTTGGATCGAATTTGTTCTCTCCATACATCACACATGATAAAAGAGGCTAGATTGTGGTAAACACCAATTTTGAGATAAAATTCAAAACATTATGTTCAACAAACTTTCCAAGTAACATTCTGATCGTGATGATATATGTTTGCTCTGTTCTGGAAACTATTGCAAATGGCTGATCATGGTCCAAAAGTAGTGCTTGTAGAGCATCGAAAAGCTCTCCGGAACTCCAAATGGCTCACCATAGCTACAACTTGCGAGAAAACAGAGCATGGCAGTGCCTGTGGATTTTGGAGGCCCGTGAATAATAGGTAAGGGATCAAGGAAATGCTGCAGATTCCTTTTCACTAGATCCAAGAGCCCATTTCATGTTTTGGCACTCAGACAAGTGAGATTTTTTCGACGCTCACAACAGGGTACATGTCATATCTGTTACCAGTTTATTATCGTGAGCTGAAAAGAAAAGGAAGAAAGTAGTTGGATGTTGCAGATGTTCTGAGTCTCTGACTGGAAGTTTGTGATCATCATAAGGCTAGCTGAATTCGATGTGAAAATGTGAGTGCCTAGTTTCCTTAATGGTTGCATTAACTTTATGTAATGATGTTGTGTTAACCATTTTCCATCATTTTTTATTCTAGTTTATCTACTTTGTTTTTTACCTGAAACTGACTTGTAGGACTTTTCCTAAATAAAAAAGTTAACAACTACTAAATCACAACTCGACAAAGCTTTTATCCCAACTATTTTGGGTCGGGTACATGAATCCTGATAGTCTATTGTTTATTGAAAAAGTTAACAACATTAACAAAAAATAATAATTTGAGTTGGGGCATATATAGCACTGTAATTGTTTGATTGAGGACATATTATAAAACACTAAATGTGGTGGAGATATTGTGACTGACATTTTATTTTTTTGCATGAAACTGAGGTTTAATTTACTACCTAAATTGTGCATGTCAATTTAGAGATTGATTTGATTAAGAATATGCTCACTGCCTTAAAGATGGCCACAGTAGCTTAATGTTGCATTCAGGCTAGCTAGGGTCAGTAGTTCAATCAACCATTGTGGCCTCATCATCGAGGAATATAAATTCTGAATCAGTTCTGCAGGTACCTAGGGGTTAAAGTTTGGTCGATCAAAAACAGAGGACATGGTGTGATCAAAAGTTTAATTATTTTCATATAAAGGGCAGTGTGCCCACCTGTCCAACGTAGGAATCTATAGTTTAGTAGTATGGAAAATTGAGAATTCGGTTAGAACCTCTTTTTTTGGAAGGTAATTCATTTAGAACTTTGGGTAGTGATGAAAGTTATTATTGGCAATGTATGCTTTGGTAAAAAAAAAAATAGTGATTGAAGAAGTGGCTAGAGAGTACAAATGTTCCCACCCTAGGTTATAGCTTTCTTCATGCTATCTAAAACTTACACTGGGAATAAGTGATATTGTACTTACAAAGCCAAGGATAAAGAGAATGGGAAGCAGCTAAGATGGCACAAGCCATTGTTATGTGCTAGAGTAGGAATTAGTTGAATGCCTATACTCAGAAGTCACAAAAACAGGGGCTTTAGTATGTATGTTAAGGCATTTGCGTATGGCATGAGATGTGTGTAAAAATGACGGGTTTGCTCTGAAGATATAGTCATTGATTTTTCTTTTTAGTTTCAGGGATAGGGGTACTGTTTGGTAAACCAAATATGATGTCCCATTGGAGAGCGCTTGCCATGTTTAGGGGCTGGAAGATTGATTGAAAAGGGCCAGACAACAGACTATTATACGTACAACATTCTAAGACCTACAGTTGACGCCAAACCATGAAGCCAGCAAAGCGAAGGTGATTTTGTTCAGTTCATTACGCTGAATATCATTTGACAATCTGATTCAAGACACTTGAATATTCTGACCAAAGAACCGTCTTTCCCAATAGACAAGTCTCAGGTTTTTTTCTTATTGTTAAGCAATGGTAATGGGATTTGAACATTACCATCCACTCAGCCCGACCTTAGCCACTAGGTTAAAACACAAGTTGAGAATTTTATTATACAATACCAGGACTACACACAAGCAATTCTCATATATCAGCTACTGTAATGTGAAGGAATGTAATTCTGTTGCTGCAGCAACTAACTTGCAAGTCTGTCTGTTAGTTAGTTAAGTCCTAACTGGTTTTGTAACTAAGTTTTGGTTATAAATACTTGTACACTGCAACTGAGAATGTAATGGAAAATTTTTTGGTCATCTTTGGTTTGTTATCCAGAAACAGTTTTTTGTTCTCAAAATTTTAAAAACACCCAAAATCTGTTTGTTTAACATTTTTGTTTTTTAAATTTTGGGAAAAACTGAGATTTGAGTCAAAGAAATAGAAAACAAGTGTAGCTTATTTTCAGAGTTTTCTTTGAAAATTTTGGAAATAAGGAAAATAATTTTTGATATTCAGATATATATATATATATATATATATATATGAAATTGTCAATATAAAAATAATTTTTTTATATTTTTTTATTAATGTTTGAATTATTGTTTAAATTTATATTTAGGTTGTCCAAACAGGTTTTACTATTTTTTGTATTGTAAAATTATTTTTGAAATCATCTAACCAAATAAGTTTTTTATCTCAAAAAATATCAAACTACTTTCTTAAAACTCTTTTTAAAAATTGTTTTTGAATATTATTTTTTAAAATACAAACCAAACAGGCCTTTTTTTTCTCTTAGTTTCTCTGTGTGCATCTATCTTCTTCTTCAAGCTTTCTATGGAATCTATCATGGTATCAAAGCCATCTTCAAAGACAAACGTCTGATCTGATGGCAAACACAACTTCTACTAATTCAACTTCATCTTCTACATGTTCATCTATACCTTCAACTACAGTTTCTTTTTCATCACATTCACCTATATACTTGTTGTCTAATATTTGCAATTTTATTTCTCTTCGACTTGATTCTTCCAATTATGTCTCTTGGAAATTTCAGATTTCAGCTCTGTTAAGAGCTCATTTTTTATTCGATTTTCTTGATGGATCATTTCCTTGTCCATCCAAATATGTACTTGATGAAGCTGGAGCTGCCACTACAGAGATTAATCCACAGTATCAGCAGTGGATTGTTCAAAATCAAGCTCTTATGACTCTTGTTAATGCCACATTTTCTTCCTCTGCTATTTCACATGTCGTTGGCTATACTACGTCTTAGGATGTCTGGCTTGCACTGGAAAGAATATTTTTCTCTCAATCCAAGAGCAAATATTCTGCAACTTAAGTCTCTGCTTCAAACTATCACCAAAGGATCAGATTCTATTGATGTCTACTTGCAGAAAATCAAAGAAGCTAGAGATAAACTTCAAGCAGTATCGTTTATAATTGAAGACGAGGATATACTGTTGTATAGACTCAATGGTTTACCATCTGAATATAGTGTTTTTTGAACAGCAATTCGAACTAGATCTCAACCTCTTTCTCTTGAGGATCTTCATTCTCTGCTAAAGGCAGAAGAAATTTTTGTTTTAGCATCTTCTAAATCATTCCCAAATTCTTTCAATCCCTCAGCTGTGGCTGCTTCACAAGGTAAAATCTATGATCCTAACTTTCCTCGTCCCAATTTTGGTTCAGGTAGAGGATTTTCTAGTTGCAGGGGTCGTGGATCTCATCGAGGAGGCATAAACAATTATGTTAATAGATCTCATTCTCAATAGTTTAGATCTAATTCCTTCTCACAGAAGCCTTAGATTTATTGTCAGATCTGTGGAAAGTTTGGTCATAGTGCTGTTAACTGTTATCATTGTATGAACAGTGCCTATCATGCTCAGGCTTCATCTTCTCCACCTTTTTATGCTATGGTTGCTTCTTTTGAATATTCTTCTAGTAATACTCAACAACCACTCTTGTTCGCTGTTTCTGATGCTTCTTCTCAGTATTCTGCTATGACTGCATCCACTGGTTACTCCACTCCTAGCTACTGGCTCATTGATACTACTGCTTCGCATCACCTAACCTTAAGACTTGATGATCTTTCTCTTTCCTCTCCTTACTTTGGAGAAGACAAAGTTTCTATTGGCAATGGTCATGAACTACCTATTACATATACATGTCATACCTTTCTTCATACTCCTCCTTATTCTTTCAAACTCACTAATATTCTTAGAGTACCTTCTATTGCATTCAATTTATTATCAGTCAAACAATTTTGCACTGATAACAATTGTCAATTCTTGTTTGATTCTAACTCTTTTTCTATTCAGGACAAAGCCACAGGGCAAATTCTCTACCAAGGCAAGAGTAATAATGGTCTATATCTCATTCATGCACTCAGCCACCATTCTATCTCTCTTTTTGCTTATCTTGGCTCCAAAATTTCTCATCACACTTGGCATGATCGATTGGGACATCCTGCAAATTCAGTTTTACATTAGATTTTCTCTACTTCCAAGTTACCACAACCTCAGTCTTCTAGGCTTGCTTGTGTTTGTGAATATTGTTTATATGGTAAAATGGCCAAGTTATCATTTTCTATTTCTACATCTAGGTCTGTAACCCCTCTTGATATTATTCATAGTGATGTTTGGGGCCTTTCTCCTCATGTATCTTTCCATGGTTTTAAATACTACATTTCCTTTATTGATAGCTATAGCAGGATTACTTGGATTTTTTCTTTGGTTCTTAAGTCTGATGCTTATTTTGTGTTTACTAAGTTTAAACCCTTTGTGGAAAAACAACTATCTCATTGCATTAAAGTTTTTCACTCTGATGGAGGTGGAGAATATCTTAGTTCTTCTTTTCTTAATTATCTTGGTACTCATGGCATTTATCATACCAAGACATGTCCTTACACTCCTCAGCAAAATTACATTGCTGAGAGGAAACATCGTCACATCACTGAGACTGCTTACTTTATTAGCCAAAGCTTCTTTGCCATATGAGTTTTGGTTTCATGCCTTTGCAGTTGCTACTTATTTGATTAATAGAATGCCTAGCAAAAACACAGCCAACAAATCTCCTTATGAACTTCTGCACAACACACTTCCTAATTATTCAGCTCTCAAAATATTTGGTTGTACTTGTTACCCTCTGCTTAAGCCTTATTCTAATCATAAACTTGAGCCTAAGACTACTCAGTGTGTGTTCTTTGGTTATCCTTTTGATTACAAGGGTTATTTGTGCCTTGATCCTCAAACCAATAAAATTTATATATCTAGACATGTTATCTTTGATGAAACAACCTTTCCTTATGCTAAATCCTTTTCTTCTTCTCCTTATATTCCTCCTGATCCTAGTTATTGGTTTCCTATCTCTCCTTCTCCTGGTACTTCTCAGTCTTCTCTATCTTCTCTCTTGGGCTCTCCTCCTTCTGTTTCCCCTATACCTTCTACTGAGTTACTTCCTCTTCTTCTGTCTCATCCATCAGCTTCTCTACCTGCTACTACATCTTTGTGTTCTTCTCCAGAACCTGCATCCTCTCCTTTCCCTATAGCTTCTGACATATCTTCTTCCAGTTCTGATATGTCTAGTTCTTTCCCAAATCCTACTTCATCAGTTCTGCCCCCATCTCTTTCTACTCACCCTATGCAAACTAGAGCTAAATCTGGTATTTTCAAGCCTAAAGCCTACATTTCTACTGCTTCAGTTGTTGAACCTACCTCTTTTACTTCTGCATCTAAATTTCCTGAGTGGAGACAGGCTATGTCTGAAGAGTTTTTTGCTTTACAACGTCAGGGAACTTGGACACTGGTTCCTCCTTCTAACCACTATCCTATTGGTTGTAAATGAGTTTTTAGAATCAAACACAATTCTGATGGCACAGTTTCTAGATATAAAGCCAGATTAGTGGCCAAGGATTTCATCAAGAGCATGGGGTTGATTATCATGAAACCTTCAGTCCATTGGTTAAACATGCTACAGTTAAGTTTGTTCTTGCCCTTGCTACTCAATTCCACTGGTCTTTGCACCAACTTGATGTCAAAAATACCTTTTTGCATGGAGATCTTCATGAAGAAGTTTATATAACTCAACCTCCAGGGTTTTCTGATCCTATAACTCCTCGTTATGTTTTGTAAATTGCACAAATCTCTCTATAGTCTTAAGCAAGCTCCTAGAGCTTGGTTTGAGAAATTCACCACTCACCACTCACCTCTCTTCTTATTCTTTTACTGCATCTCCTGCTGATCCTTCTTTGTTTATTAGAACTATTAAAGGATCTCTTACTATTCTTTTGCTCTATGTGGATGACATAATCATCACTGGCAATGATCCTCTCTACATTTCTTCTCTTAAGACAAATCTTAATAAATCTTTTAAGATGAAAGATCTTGGCTCTTTGCATTTCTTTCTTGGATTGGAAATTCAGTATACATCCACAGGATTGTTCATTAGTCAACGAAAGTATACTACTGATCTTCTTCAAAAAGCCAGAATGACTGACTGCAAGCCATGCAAGACTCCATGTGCTGCTTCTTCTAAACTTGGCAAAACAGATGGATCTTCTCTGGCTGATTCATCTTTATACAGAAGTATTGTTGGTTCTCTGCAGTATCTCACTTTTACTAGACCTGATATTACCTTTTCAGTCAATCATGCTTGTCAATATATGAGCTCTCCTACAGTAGTTCATTTTGCAGTAGTCAAGAGGATTCTGAGGTATCTCAAGGGAACTTCTCATTTTGGTCTCTCTTACAGGCCTAGTTCTCTTACTCTAT